GCCTAAAATAGACCAAGGCTTGGAAATTCCCTGCTTGCGGTTATGCCCTTTAAAAACCTGTTCTGGGGGCTGGAGAGATGGCTCAGAGGTTAAGAATACTCGCTGTTCTTCCAAAGGTCCTGAGTTCAAATCCTGTGCAGTTGCACAGTGGCTCATAACCATGTATAGTAAGATCTAGTGTGCAGGCAGAATGTTGTATAAATAATAAATAAATCTTTAAAAAAAAAAATAACCCTGTTCCCCCAGACTCCATATACCTCTTTGTTTCCACAGAGAGCTTGAGACCCGGGCCAGAGTTTGTATTAAATAACCCTCATGTTTTTGCAGCGGAGTTGATTCCTGGTGGCCTTTGGGGGGTCTCACAAACTGGGCATAACAATGAAGTGACTTGAGACAATAGTAGCTCACTGTCCTACAGCTCTGGGAACCTCACAACTAAAGTCATGGTATCCTCACTTCCTCTAACACAAAGAAGGCTGTAAGGAGGGGCCTTCTACTCCATGGCCAGCTGGTGATAGAGGAACCACTTTGCTCTGCTTCCATCTCTCTGTGGCCTGCTCTGTCTCCACGAAGCCTCCACTTCTGTATCCATATGGCCTCGTCACCCTCCTGGACAGCCCTCTCTTCATCTGTCTCCATGTAGCCTCCTCCTGTCTCTGCATAGCTCCCCCTCTTCTGTCTCCACATCTTCATTCATGTCTCCATACATACTCTTCTGTCTCCACACAGCTTCTTCCTGTCTCCATGCAGCCTCTGCCTCCTCCTCCCTCTCCTCCTCTGTGTAACTTCACACAGATGTCTTATAAGGACATCAGCCATTGGATGCTGGGACTCCAGCTCTGGACAGTTTCATCTCAACTGGACTGTCTCCAAACAAGAGCACCTTTGAACATGTGTGTGGAGATGACTTCAACATGTCTTTGGGTGACAAACCCAGGCCCCAGCAATGAGGCCCGAAAGGTGCTTCTATCACCACTCCCACACCTACAGACAGCATATGCTACCTGGTGTTGATAGCAATCTTTGTCTGACTACTACCAGCTCCAAGTCCCTTTTTCCCCCCTCTGGGTTAGCCTCGAACTGATCTTTCTACTCCCTAGTACTGGGATGAGAGGTATGTGCCACCACGCTCAGTTTTATGTGGTGCTGGAGTCTTGTGCACATTTGGCAGGCAGTGTACAAGCTGAGCTACACCCAAGCCCTTGACTTCCTAATTCAAATTTAGGATCGGCCAGTAGCTCTGAACCAACTGTGAATAAGTACAGATAGAGAAAGAGAACAGGAGTTATCCTGAAGACTTCCCACCCTCCAAGAGCTGGAGGGCATCACTGGAAGGGGACCACCCAAGGATACATCTGAGAATGGCTGGTGTGCCCACACTTGGGTTGGAGGCTTTCCTTCAACAAAAAGTTTGGCAAAGACAGGTGTGTGTGTGTGTCTATGTATCAGAAGTTCTCTCTGTAACCCTGGCTAGCCAGGAACTCAATGATCCACCTGCCTCTGCTTCCTTAATGCTGAGAGTAAAGACATGTGCCATCACTGCCCAGCTTATTTATTTATATTTTATGTGAGTAATTTGTAAATTTGCACATGCATGTTTGACAAAGTTCCAATGGAGAAGACGGCACTGGATCCCTTGGAATTGGAGTTACAGTTTGAGTGGGTGCTAGGAATTAAACCTGAGTCCTCTGTAAAAACAGACAGTGCTCTTAGCCACCTCTGAAATCATATTGTCTGTTAAAAAAAAAAAAAAAAAGTCGGCGGTTGGTGATAGCCCACACCTTTAATTCCAGCAGTCGGAAGACAGAGGCGGGTAGATCTCCAAGTTGGAGGCCAGCCTAATCTACAGACTGAGTTCCATGAAAGCTAGAACTACATGTCTGAGAAAGTTTTCTGAGAAAACTTGTCTCAGAAAAAAAAAACAAAAAATTATATATATACATATATGTATTTGTTTTTAAAGACAGTTTCTGGTAGCCTTGGCTGGAATTCACTATGCGCATGACATTTTTAAAAAGATGATAAAGGGCTTCTACCTCTGATGGCTTAGTGGCTGCTTTAGGTTCCCAGAACTCAAGGAAACCACTTCTCCTAGGCAAGGTTATTTGACTGGCTGTTTCCTTGTGTTTGCAGGTGTAAAGCCTATACCCATCATATCCCAGGTGAGAAAGAAATTCCAAGGAAGAGGCCAACACACAATCATACATCCTGTCTTCTGTTTTTTTGTTGGTTTGGTTTGGATTTGGTTTTGTGCAGGGCTTCTATGTGTAACCTTGGCTGTCCTGGAACTCAAGAGAGATGCTGCCTCTGTGCTGGGATTAAGGCTTCTGTTTGGCTCTTACTCAGTTTATAGGAAATGGGGTGAGATGAACAGTAGCTGTGTACAGCAGAGCAAGCACACACAGATCCCATCCACCACGGGATCACAGCAGGGCCAAGGACTAGCCTCAACTTGTTTTAAAGTGGCAGTGCATGCCAGGCTTTCCCTGGGGCGTATCCCTTCTTCACAACAGTAGCTGCAGTTTCCTCTCACTCCCACTCCTGACCTTTCCAAAGTCCCTTGCTTCACCTAGATACAGAACCCATGTGCAGTAGAACCTTTCTAACCCCCAGGCTCTCCACAACTGGCCATTCCTTAGCAATGTCCAGAGCCAGAACCCAGAGGCAGACTACCTGCCTCAGCCTGTCATCTATTTTCCACCTATGGACACTTGGAAGGGTTGACTTTAAGGGTGGCTAGGGTGCTGTGAGTGGTGGGTGTGGCTCTTCCAAGTGTTGCTGGGTGCCCCGCTCAGCTGGCAGACCACTGACTTTGTTACCTAGGAGCTCCACATCACTGATCGGCAGCCCTGAGTTTAGGAGGTAGCATAGTGATGAAGAAGCACTCATTGAGATGGACAGCTGACTCAGGTAAGACAGCATGAAAGACTGTCAGGGACCCCTGAGGAGGGCTATGCCACCCACCTGCCTGGAAAGTTTCCACAACACTGCCAAGGCGGCACAAGGAGGCCACTGTCACAGCCCCACGCCCTCCTCTCAATCTTGGGGAAGCACATAGCTTGTCCATGTGGTATGTGTATGTATTTGAGAATAACCTACAGTGACCAATCCTGGGCTGGCTCTCAGGCTGGGTGGCACCACAGTGGGTGAGTCGGTTGACAGGGCCATCTCAGGGACGGCAGCTTGTCGCAGACCAGGCACCACTTTTGGATGAATGACAACACTCACACAGCAGTGTCTCTAGGGCAGAATACAGGAGACAGAAAATCTAGACTAGTGGTGGGAGTTGCTCCAGACCAAGATCCAAGGGTACCAAGATGACCCCAACTGCCAAGTAAGATCCACAATAGTAAAGACCCTGAATTTGGAAGTCAGTGGGATCAGACCCACTTCCCAAATGATCTGCAAAGTAGAACCTTGTTTAACTCCTATACTGCAACTTTTCTTCTTTGCGGGGGAGGTACGCAAGCAAGTACGTCTTACTGCATAGCCTCCACTGGCCTGGAGCTATCTACATAGGCCAGGCTGATCTCAAACTCACCAATTTTCAGCCTGCTTCTGCTTCCAAGTGCTGGTATTGAAGGCATGTGTTACCACATGGCTGTGACTTTTAATGCCACGTTGCTGAGACACTGAGTGATAACTAGAGAATCTTTCCGGAGTGCAGTATCCCTTCCAGGGCTTCTCTACCTGGCCTGCAGCTAAAACACTGTGGCCAACACCTTGGGGCTTCACTGTGCTCAAAGGGATTACACTCACTTACGTAAAGGGTAGGCTCTGAAACCCTTCACCTCCGTCACAAAGGTGAAAGGGTCCAGGCAGTTCCAGGCAGACCCTGGGCATGGTCCTGAACTAGGTCTCCTCTCCCCAACCCCACAGGGCAATTCCACAGCCAGAGTTCCATCTTCCATCCAACATGTGAAAGATCACAAAGATGGCAGGAGACAAGGACAACCGCAAGTATGCAGCAACACAGTGTCACTTGAGATGGACAAGAGTTTGCCAAGTAACAATGCTGTTGTATAGTCACTGTCCTTCCGGCAGGATCCTGCACTGCCAAACCAGTCACCACTCTGGTATGGCATTCAGCCTGGACTGGCTAGCACACTGCAAACTACTGAATAGCTAGGGCTGGTGGCATAATGCACCTGCCCAGCTATGAACCAGCAGCCTTGGCTCTTCTGTGTACCTCTTCGCCTAAGCAGTGGCCCAGGTGCGCACAGCAGACCCCACACAGATGCTGGCTCCTTCCTGCTGGCTGTCACACTGCAGCAGCATAGGGCAGATCTGCCCTTGCACTTGAGTTCATCTGAAGAGCCAGGCTACCTGAAGTCATGCAAAGACTTGGGGTTAGGATTAGGATTAGTCTGCTGGCTCCACACCTGTGACAGGCCTTGAGGAAGTCACGGTGGCTAAAATAATAACTGTCCCTAAAGCCTCAACAGCTATGCTGGGGTAGTGGCCAAGGAGCCGCATCTGAAGAAGTCTCTTACACATGCATCCCAGCACCTTCCTCTTCAGTACTGGAGACTTGAACAGTATATTGTCACAGTCATGAGGCCAGGCTGAGAAGGGACGCCTTTCCTCCAGGCTCCCAGCATACTCAATCAGGATGCTGGCCCATAAAGCCATGCTCACTGGGTGACAACTGCCCTTAGTATGGGACACCAACACATCTTTTGCCCCAAAATGTCACTTCATCTTCCATAATTGAAAATGTCGGGGCTGGTGAGTTGGCTCAGGAGGTAAAGTGTTTGCCACCAAGCCTGACCACCTAAATTGGGGCCCCAGAACACATATGGTGGGAGGAGAGGACCAACTCCCCCAAGCCGTCCTCTGACTTCCACACATGCACCACAGCAAACCCTCGCACATACACACAAAAACACACCCAAAATAAATGCATAAAACTATATTTAAAAGAAAAATACAACACCTGCTTTTATTTGTCTTAGTAACAATACAACTTACAGGCCGGCAGGGAATGACCACAAGAGAGCTGGACTCGGTGATGTTTACATTTTATTTACGTCAGTAGCACTAAAATACATTACACCTTGAGGGTCACAGTTCCACAACACACATTAACACCAATCCACACTCCATGGTAACTGCCCACACCACCTCCCACCAAAAATCAAGCAAACACTTTCCTGGTAGTCTCCTCAAAGCTCAGGTGACCCTGTCCAGGCTCCTCGCTATGGCAGTGCCCATAACTCATAAAACTTCTCCTTTCCACACTGCTGGATCCAACTGCTGGCATCTCAAGCCCACCAACAGTACTTATGATGTACTCACTTGCAAGGGGAAAAAGTTCTAGCAACAGATCTCCATGGCCAAAAAGCAAAGGAACATGTCCCCAAGAGGCACATGCAGCCCAGAAGTGAGACAGCATTAAAACTACTTGGTGCTTAGTGCAAACCGCAGGTTAGGTGACAGCATGGCATGGATTTGTGGCAGTATGATGCTTGTGAAGGGGACATTATTTGCAATCTAAAACAACTGAGGTCAAGCTTCTTGCTCCATAGCTGACTATTTAGCATACGCCTCTGTGTGCTGTATGTTTGTGTAAATAGCCAGTAGCACTGACCTAGGAAAGCTAGAAATGGTATTGCTAAGCAAAACCTTTTGACTGAAAAAAAAAAAAAAAAAAAGGACAAATATCTCTAAGAAGAAAAGATGAGATTTCCCAAAAACTAAACTATATTTGGTGTCGAATTTTGACTACCTCAAGAAGATTAAAAGTTGAACAATAAAAATAAATATAAGGAAAGACTATATCTGAAGTGGCTCCATACGGCCTGTGTTGCCAGAGCACCCTGACACCCACGGCTCAAGACGCATCTTACATTACCTGTAAATCCCGCTGTACTTACAACTGCACCCTGCACTGCTGCCAGTCTATCATCAACACACACCCAGATCCCTACTGGACCCTACGGGCTCCTACAGCTACAAATTCCTCAGTGTTCGGGGCAGGGCTTGGGCTGCTGAAAAGAAGAGGCAGATCCTTAAAACTCAAGAGGAAAGCGCTGTGGATTTAGTGTTGGGGAAAAGCAGAGTTACAAGGCTAAGGCAGTGTCACAAGCTTATGCGGGCCACCCGGGATTGTCACTTCCGTCTCCAACACCCCTGATCCTACCGATCCGTGGGCATTACGTCCATAATCCTGCTAAGCGAAGTGGCCCTGGGCGGCACTGAAAGGATGCCGCTGCTGTGCGCTTGCGCACCACACACGAGAGCGGCTGCTGTGGCTGCCGCCAAATCCAGCCTAGCGGTTCCCTTTGGTCGACTTCTTCTTCTTCGTGTCCTCTTTCTGCTTCTGCTTCTTCCTCTTGCCACCTTCTTTGGGCCCTAAGGAAACATGGCTTGTGAAACACTGCACACCGGCAACCGCATCCCCATCAGGTGGGTCACTCACTAGACACTTCCCCATGTACGAAGAAGGCAACAGAACAGACATTTACAATGTCGAACTACTGTTTGGAATAGCATGCTTGAGACCTTCCACATTGCTCCCAGAATGCCACTACCACACAGGGAAGTGTGCAACTCACAGCAAGCATCCTGCACTTACCCAGCCACAGAACTGGCTCTGTGAAACAGGCTCTGCCACCTACACAGCCAGGCAGAGCAGAGACCCTCCACAGCTCCCTGCTGCAAAGGGCAGCCTATTTTTCTTCCATAAAAACAAAGCCTCTCATTTTTCCTGTCATGAAAGCCAACAACTGCGTGACCTTACCAACCAAGGCCACAGTAAGATGGACAGAGGCTCAGCCTCTGGATACTGCCAATAAGCCAGAAATGACTCTGCCTTCAGTCCTGCAGCATTCAGACCCTGGCCATATGGAGTAGGTAGGATGTGGGCCTGATGCTGAACAAGAACCACAAAAGAGATCTCAGAACTCCAACAGATGCCTACAGATACTTCAAAATGCCGATGGTGAGATCCATCAAAATCTCAACACATGAGTTAGCTGGGGAGGTTGGGAGTGAAAGCATGAGAGGCAAGCCGGCAGCAGGATTAGATACGAGCTCTAGCTCTGTGAATTGCAAGCCATGCTCTGTGAAGGCCACACCCCACAGAGCTACTGGGCAGGCCAGGCCAAGTTTGGCAGAAAAGAGGAAGGAAATATTTTTTTCATTCATGACTTTTCTCTGAAAATTTCACTGAATAATTTCCATTTTTAATGGCCATGTATTCTTCACACTTCACAGACTCATGTTGTGTGGAATCCAAAAAATGCAAAATGCCACTAATCCCTTTTCCACCAAAGCGCAGCTTGCCCTCAACAGAACAAACCTTCAAGGCCACAGAAGAGCCCACGAAGAAGGAAGAAAGGAGAGGAAGAGCCGCCAACATATACTGGACCCAAGGTGGTCCACAGTTCCAAGGTACAATCTCTCTCTCTCTCTCTCTCTCTCTCTCTTTTCTCTCTCTCTCTCTCTCTCTCTCTCTCACACACACACACACACACACCAGACCAACAAATCAAACTGCATTTTGTTTCTACCCCATCACTAGCGTAGCTCGGACCAGAGCCACTTAGACCACTACTATTCTGGCTGACTACAATCCAATCCATGAAATTCTTGGGGGTCTGGCAGTCCCAGGTAGCTTGAATTGCACAGTAAGGCCTTCTTTTTTGGGGGGTGAGGGGTGGGGGGTTCTCTGGACCACCTTGGGTCCAGGGTTTCTCTGTGCAGCCTTCGCTGTCCTGTACTCATATATGTAAACCAGACTGGCTTCAAGCTGGAACTCCAATAGTCTCCTGCCTCTACCTCCCTGAGTGCTGGAATTACAGGCATGTGACACCATGCCCAGCTCTAAGTTTTCATCTAGGAAACCCTGCTTCCTGGTGCCAACCGGCCTGGCTGCACATAGGCTGTACCTGGCAGCTGCAAGGCTGACAGCCAATGGGAGCTGCAATTGGGATAATATGCACAGTTTCTTGGTGTGCTTTTTTAGGAAAACTTGCCCCAAGACTTGGAAATTGAATCAAAACCAGTAACAACGGCAACACCACTGAAGGCTGCACTGGGTCAAGTGTGGCAAGCTTGGCCTGGGACCTCTTGCCTCTCAACAGTATTATGAGGAAAGGTCTAGGCTTGGTCCCCGACCAACAACAGAGTGCCAGAGTTTACAAAGACTTCTCTGTTGGTCAGAGGAGGACAGTGGCTTGCAGTACAGAGTAAGTGACTGCCCAGGTCACAGCTTTGTTGTGGAAATCAGAAACCACTATGTACCGTAGCTAAGTTTCTAATGTCCCTCCCAACGGGTTTTTGTTTTCACTTTGTTAAGCCAATTTCTGGTGTAGCTCAGGTGGCAGTTTGGAGAACACCACTTCAAAACAGGTCATCATAAGTTAGAAAGAAGGTAAGTTAAGGGTTACTCACAGGTTTGGGTTTATTTTGGGGTTTTATTGTTGTTGTTTTGTCTTCCTGTATGAAAGCATAGCTCCTTAATGGAAAACATGAGCAAAAGAGCAAAGCAGAGGAAGTGCCAGCTACACCCAGAGCCATGCTGGCAAGTGCTCCTGCCTCCAGACTCAGAGCACACAGGGAGGGCCACCTCACTCACAGCTTTCCAGCCTCTCACACCCAGACTTTCTACAGGGATCCACAAGCCCACTAGTTCATACAAACACACACACAAAGCTACAAGGAGAGCGTGATTTGCTAAACTCCACTGTTTCCAGATCAGCCTTGGATGATCACCTTTTATTTAACAGGCGTGGCCCAGGACCAAGAGAATTGCCATTTGCCACAGTTATACTTCCTGCCCGCATCCCACTGTGGCAGGCCTATGCACTTATAAACATGCTCTATAGGCAAGCCTGTCCCTGTGTACCTTCAGAACACCAGGAGATTAATGACAAACAGCTCACAGGACAAGCTTACGGCATCTTTATAACTGAAGAATGGGGGAAGGGTTCCAAAACCTACAAGCCCTATCTGTTCTGTATCTCTCGCCACCCCTCCCGATCTTCTTGGGACTATTCAGACAAGGCATCATGGGAGGTGTCCACTGCCACTGAGGCCACTCAGTTGCACAGAGCTCATATCCCAGTTACCCATCTGTTTTTGCTGGCATCTCCCCACAACAAGGTACCTATGCTGGCTACCCAAAATTCCAGTAATCCTTCACCCATGGAGGACTCTGGGTAGTGTGTTCTCTTCTGCTCACTGAACCCTAGGGGACACCTGTTTCATTCTCTGAGGAGAATCACAGGGGCTTGAAGCCTTGACTTTAATACAAACTTCTGAGAAGCAAAGGAATACACCTTTGCCCTATTTCCTACTTGGAGCACTTTGCAACCCAACTCAACATGGACCACCAAGCCTCATCCTCATATCCATAGTTTGGCCTACGGTGTTTGCGCAGCCACAGGCACAAACTTGCCTTACAGACAATAATAAAAAACACTGATACAGGGCTTGGGTCTGGCTGGAAAAGCTCAGTGTGTATGCACACACTGATCACCAGAATGTTCTATGAGGAATACTCCTGGAGATGTACGCACAGCTGAGTAGAGCTGCATGGTGGACAATCCCTTCATGAGCACAGAGGGAGAAGCCAGGGCCCCACCTTCACCTGTCGCTCCTGGGAACCTAGCTCAACTCTGCTCTTCTGTCTGAAAGTAAAGCTAATAAGTGTGTGAGTGGCCTTGGGGCAAGTCAGGTTCAGTAACAGATCTCAAGCTCTAGGATCAAAGTTATACAAAGGAGTGTTTAGGGACAGAAATAGTACCTAGCAATTCCTTAGCAGTCAACATATTTCATACGCATCAGAATACTGGGACCCCATTTTAATCATGGGGTTGGCTTTGAGCCATGCAGCTAGGCCGTACACAGAGCAGCTGTGGAAGATAAGCTGGGTGCAGGTATCCTCTCTGCCCCTTCTCGGCAGGCCTGGCACCTACCCCCAGCTCTCCATGCCCACTTAGGTTAGAATGCAGCAACACAGGCCTGGCTTCTGTTCTTGCTGTCCTGGGTCTGGGGGCAAATCACTTTGGGGTTGCTCCACACCAGCTCCCTTCTGCACACCTGCTGAGGTCATAGGGGCATTCCAGTGGCCAGGAACCCGCTGCCTGCCCTGCTCTTCATCTTCCCAGTTGCTTTTAGACACAAGTTTAGCCGTTGGGGCAGGCCTGGGTGGCTTCTGTGGGTAGGTGCTGACAGACGGGGCCGAAGTCTGGACTGAAGCTGGGGCCAGGGGTCGGGCCCGGGAGGGGGGCCGAACTGTTGCTGGGGCCGGGGGTGGGGCCGGGGCCGGAGCTGGGGTAGGGGCCGGGGATGGGACTGGCACCGGCTCAGGGGCCAAAGCTGGTGTGTGTTGGCCTCTCCGATGGCATTCTTCTGCAAAGGCGTTCTCGTCGGCCATACCTGAAAGCACAGCATACCAGGGACAGCTGTAAGCCTTGGCCCTCCCTTGGGAGCAAAAGGCTTCACATTCCTTCTTCCCCAAAAGATGGTTCTATCTCGAGAGCCACCATACTTTTATAAAAGTAGATACTATGCATTCCCTCCACTGCTCTGCTGAGCCTGAACATTCTCTTCCCACTGAAAGAAAGAGAACAATCCCAGAGAAATCAACTGTCTCTGCTGCAATGCCATCCAGGTTCTCAGCAAGCAATCAAGGCACAAGGCCCAGCAGATACTGAAGATGATTCTTGGCAACTCAACAATTCAGCCCTGCAAAAACACACCAGACACAGACCAGACATGTTCACAGGCCAATGCCTAGGAGGCATCACCTCTGAACAAGCATGAAGTGGCTTGAAGAACTGCAGAACCCTCAGGCACTCACTCTGCCCAGCATGCCTGCAGGGTGGAGCCAGGCCGCAGGCAATCTCCCGGAAGGTAGCACAGCTCATCACAACCCCCCACAACACTTGACAGCCCTCACTCAGAAGGCTTGTTATCTTTAGCAAAACAGAAGGGTTCCGAAGGTTTTATACACTACATACTGAACATGAAACAAGAAAGCAACAATTAAAGGATCAACTTAGATTTCCTCAACTTTGAGTAACAGCGCTGTTATTATACCAACCATAAAACTAATGCAGTGACTCTCCATTGTCAACGCTCAGCTCACCAAGAGGATGAAGAGCTCTGCAACCACCCACTGCAGCCTGTGCATGAACTCAGCAAGAGACATTCGAGAGCAGCTTTCCTTTAGTGGTGACCCAACACGGGTACAGCCGTCCCAAATGCAGTTCTCATTTCATGCCTGGGAGGCACTCGCTCAAGGAAATGTGGTAAGTATTTCAGACCAGCCCTCATCTAGACACCTCAAACAGAGGCAGGCTCTGCTGGGCCCAGACCTGTGGTGAAGTCTCATAGGTAACAAGAAAACCTGACCCTCCCACATTTCGGAGGCCTCTTGAAATGGGTAGTGCAGCTGGGTGGGAGTGGCACAAACCTTTAGCTTCAGTACTCTGGGAGGCACAGGCAGGCAGGTCTCTTGAGTTCAAGGCAAGCCTGGTCTACAAAGTGAGTTTCAGGACAGTCAAGACCACACAGAGAAACCCTACCTCAAAACAAACAAACAACTGGGGTAATACATCACATCTGGGGCTACAGGGCCACCAGAGCACTGAGCTTGCAAGCTGGATGTTTACTGGCATTCAATGAAGAGGTCTCACACACTCCATTTTGCATCCATTTAACCATGCACAAAGGTCAGCTAGCAGCTCCAGCCTGTCCAGAGGTGCCACTGTCTCCACCCCACTGTTCGTAACCATCCTACATGTTCTGCCAGAGGCTGGGCATCCTGCTGAGCCACACACTTTCTGCACTGAGCTGAGGGTAAAATGTGGCACTGGCAAGCTTGCATGTCACAGACTCCTCTGCAAACAGTAAACACATGTGAATGAGACCAAACCCTGAGATCTGGGAGCCATCTTCAGGCACACTGTATTCGAAGACTGTGCAGGGAAAAGGCACAATTTGGGGAGGAACAGGGGCTAGCACAACCTGGGGTTACTGAAATGAACATGAACACATTTCCTGACTACTCAACAGACACATGGTGACAGGGTTCAGAATCTGAATGACATAAATGATGGCATGTGGGAAGATTATGTGAATGCTCACCTGGTCCCTTGGGGTACTGTCAACTATCCCTCAGGTGCCCCAGAGCTGGCCAGTCACTCCAACACTATGGAGTGACCAAGCACAGACCAAGTCTGGAGGCCCAGACTATTATCTCCTGAGCAGAGAACCATACCTGTAAATTCGTTCCAGGCATGTTCATACATGCTTGTAATCCCAACCCTATGGGCACTGAGGTACAATGACAATGCTGTAGAGGTCAGTCTGGACTACCTATTAAAAATCACCAGTTGGTGGTGGAACATACCTTTAATCTCAGCACTCATTAAAGGGAGGCAGAAGCAGGCTGCTATCTGTGATTTCAAGGCCAGCCTAGTCTACAGAGCTAGTCTACAGGGTTCCAGGACAGGCAGGGCTGCACAAAGATACCCTGTCTCAAAAAACAAAACTAAGCAGCTGGGGGTGATGGCTCACTTTAATCCCAACACTCAGGAAGCACAGGCAGGAGGATCTCTGTGAGGCCAGCCTGGTCTACAATTTGAGTCCAGGACAGACAGACAGGGCTCATTAGCTACAAAGGAACCTTGTCTCAAAAGGACAAAAAACAAAACAAACAAACAGCTGGGGCAGTGGTGACACTCGCCTTTATTCCCAGTGCTCTGGAGGCAAAGGCAGGTGGATTACTGGGAGTTTTGAGGCCAGCCTGGTCTACAAAGGAAGTCCAGAATAGCCAAGGCTACACAGAGAAACCCTGTCTGGAGAAACCAAGAGAACACAAAAAGCAAACAACAAAAGCAGTTCAAGGCCAGCCTGGAACTGCATAGTTTCAGATACGTTTAGCATAACCTCACATTAAATTAAAGGAAAGGAGAGGAAGAAATGACAGGAAGGAGAAAGGGAGGGTTGATCACATTGTCTGTGTATAACTTGTAAAGGAAACCACTTCTTTTCACGTGCGATGCCCCATACAACAGCTTCCAAACCTTTATTTTGGGGATGTGCTGAGTCTCAGGACAGCGGCCCCTTGCTCATCTCACTCAGTGACACTCACTCAGTGCACTTACCTCAGTGACAGGACAGGCATCCTCAGGTCTGCCCAGAACCAGGCTCCCATCCAGCTACAAGAGGGTGCTCCCACATTCTGCTTCAGAAGCACCCTTCCCAACAGTCCTGCTGGATCTGCAGACTCTACCTAGATGCACCCCACAAGATATAACCCCCAAAAGGAATAAGCAAATGTCCTAGCATGCCCTCACGCCCTCAGGGAAGCTGTCTTGGTAAGCTTACCATCCCTGTTGGACAAGCTCCCCACACTGGCTTCCTGAGCTTGCCTCGGACATCTACAGCAGGAAGCCAGTCTCTGGGAGGATGACATGTTTCTCACCGCAGGTTCTCTGCACTTCAACCCCCCTACGCTCCCCAGCCTGAGGAATACAGAGTGTACCTGCTTTCAGAGCACCTTCAAAGAACTCTGTGCTTACATGTTGAGGAGTCAAACACGCAGAGAGTAACTCTAACTGGATTTTTGTTATCTCAGGACAAAGGGCAAGATAGCTCGGAGGGTAAAGATGCTTTGCCACCAAGGCTAGCCTGATAGCCGGGAACCTCAAAGTGGAAGGAGAACCAATTCTGAAGTGGTCCTCTGATCTGCACTTGCACAATATGATGCACACATACACACTCAAAAGTAAACCTAATAATTTTACAAACTAAGCTCTTACTGAATGCTCTTCCAGAGGACTAGGGTTCAATTACCAGCACCCACATGGCAGCTCACAACTGTCTGTAATTCATCTGGCACCCTCATATAGACATACAAACAGGCAAAAACAACAATGCACATAAAATATAATATTTTAAAAAAATAAACTATTAAGAACTACAACCCTGGGCCTCACCATCCTTCCAGAACCTGGTCCTCGTTCTCATGACAGGTAACTAGGATTCAAAGCAGATGTGGTTTTATGCTTGGGGGCCCTGTGATAGAGGGCAATACTTCTAGGTTTGTGGCAACTACCCACAAACCCTCTCATAGCTGCCACCTTCCTGTTCAAAGTACCCTCCAGCTCTCAGGGCTTTTCTAAAAATCCTCACTCAGAATCCCCCTGGCCCTGGCCCTGGCCTAGCACTGGAGAGCATGGGAACATGGACCACACACTGAAGTACCTGGGAAGTCAAGTCATTCCTCTCCTCAAGCATCCTCACTAGGCCCTTCCTAGAAGGCATCACTCACCATGTATTTGTCCAAGCACTCCTTCCAGCCTGCTGTCCTCACAATACACTAGAGCAGTGGCTCTCAGCCAGCACCCCAAAACAATGAACAGGCTGCAGTGACAAGACCTCTGAAGCTTGTCTACTTAGCAACTGCTGCCTCCAAGGCAGTCTGGACCAGAGCAGGCACAGCTGACTACTGGTACTTGGGACTTTACCAAGCCTGATTCCTGTGTAGAAGGAAGAAGCTGAGTTGGTTACTGATCCAGCCCCAATAAAGATGGCCCCATAGACTGAGTGCTCTGTGCTTGCAAGCTCCAACAGCAGAATCCCAACAGCAAAGGCAGCAAGTCCAAGGCTCTCCCAGCACAACACATCAATTTCTCTAAAGTACCATGCTGTTCCCCATGATGTGCTCCTGTCTTTCTTGAGAATCTCCTGTCCTAAACCCTCTGGTCTTTGTCTTCAGGGCTGCCTATGAGCAGCAGTACAGGTGCTCTATGGGCCCAGGAGCATAGCCAGTCCATGGAAAACACTGTCTCCATGGACTTATCTGTCCTGTTATGGTGGGAACTCACAAAGGTACAGGTAACCACCACACCACCACCTTCAAAATGAGAGCAAGCACCTAGGCTCAAATACCTTCATCCTTATCCCTTAGGGTAAAGATGCCTTACAGTTTTGACAAGTTGGCAGCTGACTGAGGACCATCTTCATATCCTGGCCCAAAGCAAATACTCCCAATGTATAGTGGGCTTATTCTTGCCAACCACAGCATTCACAGCAGACTCTAACAGAGCTGAACATACACACACACACACACACACACACACACACACACACACACACTGTTGCTTCATCCTAGAGCAGACAGACACTACAGAACCCAGAAGTAAGGTAGCACCACTTGTCCTACCACAGAAAGAACTTCACTCCCTGTCCCACTCAGAACCTTCTCATGCAGCCTGTAGAGGCAGGGTTGGAGTGCTTGTATGACCTGGCTGTGCTGTTGGTGGGCTTCCTTCTGAAAGTAAAATCACATGTGGTACTGCCCTCCCCCCGACAGACAGACACACAAACACACACACACACACACACACACACTTATCCCTCAACAC